ACAAAAACGATTTTCTAATTTTTTGTAGTTTATTGCACTTTTTTGCAATTTATGTCGTTACTATGGACTTAATGCAGACATATTATTAAAATGTGGGCTATAACAGTTGTATTGATGTATAGCAACTTGAAATGCTCCCTAAAATGGCACTACAGCATGTAAAAATATAAAGTAAGCTCTGGCGGCCTTGGTTCTATAGTAGGTCTTAAAGGGCTAAGACAAGCAGTTATGACACCTTTGAGTTTGTCTCCACTGTAGCTAATGACAACATCTCCGGGAGCCAACATCACGATGCAATGCACTCCAGCTAACTTCAGTGGACTCTGGGGGTTGGGCTAATAGTAATTTATTTCATTTCATTTTTAATTTATACCTGCCGATCAGCTGACACTCACAGGAAAAAAACAGGAAGTCTCCTGTTGCAAAAAAAAATCAGTATACCATCTTACAAACTCAGCTGTCACATGTTTGTCCTCCGGATTTACAACATGGATTGAAATTGAAAACCTGTTCATAAAGTCCCAGGATAGAGTCACCTGAGGCTCCAGTAAAACAGACTAGTCTGTGTGTGGTACTGTGAGCCACACTACGCTCCTCCCTGAGATTGATGCTCCAACACTCCATCACCATCACCTCCATCAGAGTAGCTCTCCTCACTGGGGCTCGTGCCCACATCCCTCTGGGCTTTTACTCTGCACGACCCCCACCTGAACCGCGCCACTGACGCACATTAATACACACGGTAACCCGGGGCCGTACGCTCCATACAGCATGAACTGCTTTATGGTAATGTCATTGGTGAGAGAAATGCCTGTGCCCTGACATTTATCCATTAATTCAGATGTTGTGTAACAGCAGTAAAGGGTATGATAAGTTTTGCGTTTGTCATATTGTGGTATAGTTTGCATTGAAGATGGCAGACATGATACTGACCTTAGACTAAAAATCTACTTTTTTTCTATTGTTTCTTTGTGGAAGAGGCTTTTCTGATGATGATAAAGTTGAACCAAATAGTGAGTAAACTATTGTTGCAAACAGTGGTTCATATTTGGTTTGAATGCAGTCAGTAACCATCTATGGTGGACTATGGATGTTGTCAGTAATTAGCTGTGGAGGCCTCCATCGTTCCTGAGGATTGGTGACACAGTCAGAAGGTTTGTGTCCTAGCTAACATGCTAGCTAACGTGCTAGCTAATGTGCTAGCTAACGTGCTAGCTAGCGCGCTAAAACCACATGAGATCTTTACATTGTGGTTTTTTCTCCCCTGCTAAATGTTTCACTCTCAACTTACAGGAAACAAAAGAAAAAACTCATAATGGCAGCATGTTAGTCCTCTTCAGGGAATCTCTCCTGGATAGTATTATTGGGCTAATCAATAATGGCAGTTAAACAGTGACTGTGCAGTGATTCATCGCCTGTAAATGCATACACTGAATCTGCTGGCCTTTGCCTGTTCGTGTCAGTGTCAGACCACGCTAATTTTCCTGGAAACAGCTGAACAGTAAGATGGCTCACAGGGGGGAGGTTTGTTGACGGGAAGGGAAGATCAGTGTCGGGTCGGCGGTTCTGAGGTACTGGATCTGTCTGACAGGCTGCCTGCTAGAGGAGTAGGCCGCTGGGAGAGTTTCAAGCAGACACAAAAGCAGAGGGTGATTAATGGTTTTCAATACCACATGTCAAACTATGTAGTCATTCTCTGTTGCAGGAATAATTGAGGGGTTTCATTCAATACAACTACACTGCATACCTCCTTCAGGAAACAGATACCAAACGACTCACGGACCAATACCGGTCCATGGCCCGGGGGTTGGGGACGGCTGGTGTAGAGCGCTCGCAGCGCGGCTGCTAGATTGTGTTTCCTAACATCTACTAATAGTTTATAGACACTGTTTGGTTTTTGTTGGAATTTCCAAATCTGTGTTAATGTAACTGGATTCTTAATTGCGATGAAATGTGAGTAATTAACATATTTCGTCATTTGGAGAAATTATAACTTTGTCCCCAAACTGCTCAACGTGAGCGCTCACGTCAGAGATCAGAGATGGGCAGTGTTACTGTAATCTGATTCCTTTTTTTGAGTAACGAGTAAAGTAAGGGATTACTATTGTAAAAAAGGTAATTAGATTACCGTTACTTTCCCGTAGGAACGCTGCGTTACTGCGTTACTAAAATTTTGATTCTTTTGCAAGAGTGTCTCATGACAGTGACGTAAGCAAGTGCGACGTTAGTGACAACAGCTGTGTGCAGATCAACAATGGATCATATATCGAGTGCGGAGAGAGTATGAGCGTGCAGCGTTTAAAGCGTGGAAGTACTGACCTTACTTTGAGTTTGATTCCATAAAAAGTGTCAAAAACATTAGTGTCCATTGTGCGTGGGAAGAAAACTTCTTTTTACAGCGAAAAAAACCCCTAAACTTCCAACAAGCACCGAGTAGCTACGACGTAATGGGAAACTCACAGAGAAACTCACGGATTCTTCCACTGACCGCGGCACACCTGCACCAGGGTAACCCTCCGCCTACCCCACTCCTGCTTTACAGGTGAAAATAGAGCAACAGGACCGCTGAGTCTTTGATTTTATTTATGTTCTGCTGTGTTTTACTTGCATCTATTTGAAAGACTGAGTGTAAACACAAAAAATATTTTATTTTATGTGCTGGAATGTGCAGAAAATAGGTTTAAATGTTAAACTAATTTCTTCCAGTCAGAGAATGTTGCAGATAATTAAATTTTTGCTTGATGCATAAAGTTAAAAGATTAAAACTAATAAAACAAGTTAAAAAAAGAGACTTTTCCATTTGATTACATTTTGTATGATGAATTATGCAGAAAAAGTAGAATTGGGCTGAAAGATCTATCGCTCTATCACCTCTTCAGGTTGTAAATCGTGTTTTTAAAAAGTAACTAAGTAATTAATTACTTTTGAAAATAAGTAATCAGTAAAGTAACGGGATTACTTTTGGGGGGAAGTAATCAGTAATTAGTTACTGATTACTTTTTTCAAGTTCCTTGACCAACACTGCCTCTGATATCCGTATTTCTGATCCTGTCCATCCGGGTCACTCCCAGTGAAGTGGGTCGGTGGTTCGATCCCTGTGTCCTGTACATCCATCTATCCAAGTATCCTTGGGCACATTTTTCCCGAGGTACGCGTGAGAGTGTTACGTTAAAAGTGCTTAGGCATGTGTGTGAATGGGTGAATGAGGCGTGTAGTTAAGAGTGCTTAACGTATGTAGAACAGTGCTCCATAAGTACCAGTCCCATCCACAAAGACACAGAGCCACTCTGATGTTCTCTGTACTCGTCCCTCAACACTCTCAACGTAAACATCACATCTGTGGAGGTCTTTCACGCATGAAGCCATACCACTGCTCACTGATCGCCACCTCTCTTCTTAACCTTGCTTTCCCGTAGCTTCACGGTGTGGCTCATGAACCTCTGTGGTTGCTTCACTTCTGCACTTCACCCTTGTTCTTGAAAATAGGTACCATTAAACCTTTTCTGCTTCCCTCATACACTCCTCATCTGGTTAGAAAGTCCACTGCCCTGTCTCCTGCACATCTCCACACTTCCACAGGTCAACTCTTCATTCTCTTGATACTTCACTTCCTCCGTACTAATCCTGCACTTCCAGTACTACTGCTGTACTTTCCCAGTCATCTGGTAATTCTTCCCTACTATCCTGTCTCGTCTCATCTCCACTGGAATTCTTCCTTCTTCAACTTTAACCAGTTAATGCCTCTGCCTTCACTTGCATCTTCTTGATTTCCAAAGTTTTCATGACCTGATATTGCTCCCAGGTTGCATAGCATGCAGTCCACCTCTTAGCGACTTGCTCATTTCTCTTGTGCCACCTTATGTTCCTCCTAGTTCATCACAGCCATTTGCAAATTCCAGTATCGTCTGTCCTTCTGTATTTCTCTCCATAACAGCATTCCTATCCAACGCCTCCTCATTACCCCTGTAGCTGTGACTGCTCCTTCACATCAGGACCAACATGGGACACTTTCAAAATCTAAAAACTCTCTTTTACTCCTCAGCTTTTAAATCAGAGACTTTTGATTATCTTAAGTGTGCAGCACGTTGGTCATCAGTGGTTGTTTTTAATGTGCTATAAATGAATTTGACTTGACTGTCCCCCTCACCGTTTAAGTGTGCTCCAGTCACTACTCTGCCCCGGGGGCACATCACTGAACCTCCTCCAGAAGGTGATCCAACCTGTGGGGCATGTGCACGGACAACATCTGCCCTTTGACTCCCAGTTTGAAGTTTCATGACTGAGGAAAGAGCGCAGCCTTGGTTTCTATATGTGAATGTGGTGCTTTGATTGTTGCACATTATGCAGCTGGCTGGTGAACTGCACTGTAAAAGCCATGAAGGTTGATGTGCTTATGCGAGGGCGTTGTTTGCATTTGGTTGTTTATGTGCGTGTGAAGTAAAAGCAGACGCCACAGTCAGCATCGGCTCATTTCTCTAAGAGGCTGCAAGATGTCGCTGCAATCTCTCAAGGTGAAGCTGCTTTCATACGCGCACCGCACGAGTGGATGCTATTTTGCTTTTCAGCGAATCCGAGGCCGCAGAACAAACACATCTCCATCTCTTTATCGGCGACTCACCCACACATACGCGCTCACTCTCCAGTTCTCACCTAAAGGTGTGTGGTGATGCAGCTTGTGGCAGGTGGTGCACACAGCGGTGCCGCAGTGTGACTAATAGTTGTTGCTAAATGGCGTGAACATCCTGTGCATCTGTTTGATGAATCTTCCTCCTTCCCGTGCTCGCCTTCCATCCCTCCCTCCGGCTGTCCATCCAATTATACGTCCCTGTCTCCAAGTTAACCACAGGTCATGTGAAATAGCACACGACTCAGAAGAAAGCCCACTGATCAGCAAAGTGGAGTGTTCTACGTGACTCAGCAGGAGTGACACGCAGGACAAGAATATAAGCTTACATAAAATAATCGTCACCACTTCACATCATTCCTGTCTATATTTGCAGGCGCAGATGGGAGCAGACGGACGGACGGAACGAGGATGACATCACTGTTACCCGTGGGAGCCTGGGCCTGTCATTCTTGGTGTCACTTCCTGGGAGAGAATAGAACAGGAAGCCAGCGCGAGAGCCGACAACGAGCGCTCCCCTCACCTCCACAAGGAAGCCTTTTTCCCCCGAGAGCAAAATGTGTGTCTGCTTGTGTCCCTCGCTCACTCCTGCATTCATCGCGCAGAGGGCTGGTGCTGGTTCAGAATTTGTGTAAGCCCTGATTGTTTTCATTTCCTTTGAGCTCAGTTCTGAGCCTTTTGCAACAAATCCTTTGAAGAGCTTGTTATTTTACACGTCAACGGTAGTTAAAATAAGTCAGAGTGGTGACTTTATGGGTACGGATGCAGTAAGCTGTGCCTCTGCAGGCTTTATTTTGCTGCCCTGGGTCAGCAGTGTTTGGAGGAGGGTGGATTTACAAACGTGGAGGCCACTGTGACGTCACCTGATGGTGTTGGACTCTGGGTCGGGGTGAGGCTCGGTCCCTTGGCCGGTGCCACACTCTGCTTCTATGCTGGAGCTTTCCCATATTGGACAAAAGGGTCGAGTGAAAATTGGTTAGCTGCATGTGTAGCTTGCAGGGCTCTATCCATAATTTCTGATCAGTCCTTTTCCTGAATGGTGTAAGCCTCAGATATTTGTCAGGTAACTCTGTTTAACTCCAAAAGGCTCCAAAAGGAAAAGTCCAGTTTGACTCTGCACAGAGCCCTCAGTTAAACCCTCAACATCCACTCATGTTACCAGATCAACAGTTATTCATATGGCTATTTGTTGATATTGTGTTACTGTTGTAAAATGCAGGGACGTGGCTGCAGCTCAGAAACTGCAGCGAGTCATCAGGAAGATCGAAGAGCTTCTCTTCCTGTTGAAGTGTTCTCTTAAGATGATGGCTGAAATAAGTTAGTAAGCTTTGTTGAAATGCCAGCTCATCGTGAGCTTTGGTTTGCTTTTTTAATCATGAGGCTTTGTGATGATTCATGTCTGTGTTAAGGTGCTAACGTGGCTGATTCAGAGCTGCTAATGAGTAGACGTGTTGTTCTACTTGTCTTCATGCTCTAAAACGCTGCATCCAACTGAGCGACTCAAATGCAGCCTGCTTAATGCGTACACAGCATCTTTGTACTATTCATCACTGTGCAGGCATACAAAGCAGGCACACGTCCTGCTACCTGAATAGTTTTTACACAAATCCTGAACTCACCCATATGGAAAAGATATATATAAATCTTATAAAGTTTGTATCTGTCTTGTGTGAAACTTGTATGAAAAGCATACAAGAGTGAAAACAGATATAAGATCCCTTGAAAAATTATATTCAAAACATTCAATGAAACTTGAATGTTTTGGATACTTATTGTATGAAAGTAATGAGAAAGTGGCCACTTTCACGAGTAATCACATATAAGTTTTTACTATTTCTTTTCCATATGGGCAGACAGGACGCGCTGTGGTTCAGGCTCTGCAGGCTCTGGTGAGTCTGTGTTTAAAGGATGGAAAGATGACTGCGACGCAAAAATGAAATTAAAAATGTTCGCGTTTCGGTCCCTACTGTGGATTTACTTCTGCCCTTTGACCTCTCTAACCAACACAAGTGCATCAAAGCTGAGCCCTCCCTTTGAGGACCCGCACGGTGTTATAGATGCAATGTCGCCCTCTTGTGTGTGAATTTAAAATTGCAGGATTCAGGCTGAGTTTTTAAATAGTATGCAAAACACTGTCTGGTGAACGTCAGCACTAACATCGGATGTAGGCCGCTGTTAGTTGACTCCGCCCTCCAAAGCCCCACCTTTCTGCAGCGCCGACAGCGTAAAGACTTTGTAGCCTGGACACACCTCTGATCATCTGACACCCATCTTCCAAACACCTGGAGGGCCGCTGGGACAATGATGTACTGTTAGATTTGTTGTCATGACGACCTAGTTGGTTATGTAAGCACTGGGCTCTGGTTCCCACAAACAGTGGTGCACGCAGATCTCTGTGCTGTGACACTAGAAACCACACACACGGTCACAGTTTGTCCGTCCCTCCAGCTGCTCGCGTGTCACCCTGCAGTGTCTACAACGAGCCATTTAACCCTCAGCGATGAGCCGTAACCCTGTGCCAGCAGCACGTGTGCTTCAGGTGAGGCCTGTGGCCGACTCGGGGCAGAGACTTTGTTGCAGTCTAACGTCAAGAATTTGGGTGGCACAGTTTCTTTCCAGTAATTCAGCAAATTTGTCTCAGTTCCCTCCAAAACTGAAGTGAGCTCGCTGGTTTTCTTGGATTTTTGCTGATTTCTTGAGCTTGGCCACACTTTCTCTGATTGGCTGTTAGCTTCACAACTCCTCCAGTCTGTATGTTGAGATGTCATGTGTGCGACAGGCACAGTACTTTGACTAATAAGTGCTATAGCGATCCTCTGTGTAACCTCGATTTAATCCAAAGATTTCGTGACCCTAAAGCAGACTCACATTTACCAGCTTCTCTGTTGCTCGGGTGCTTCTCTTCACACGCTCTGTCTCTGTGGCAACAGCCTGGAAATGCTTCTGCTGTGGACCCACAACAATGAATGTGTGTAGAGGTACCCATGTGTCCGTCTGTACTGATGGAGCTGATGTGTCTGTGGTGCAGCATAACTTAAGCAGCAAGGAAGGTGATAAGTAAATAGCATTAGCAGACAATTGAAGTTCTTTTTAAGCATACTTTATTGCTAGCATCTCCCTTTTACCATAAAACAATCAATCAGGCATGCAAAAATCCCACTGGCTTTATACAAGACTTTGCCCACACCTGACCTCGTTAGCCCCTACCATTGAACAAAATAGGTCAAACCAAATAATACAATTCTAAACAAAGAACAGGAATAAAGTCATGCATGAAACTGACAAACTCATTTACTCAACTAAATGGTTTGTAAAGTAAAACACTGCATACAATATAACTCAAAAGGCTACTTTAAAGAAAACAAACAATACTATACAAAATGAAAACCCTCCATTTGGTTACACACAGTGATGCAATCATTGACCTCATGACCCTATATAAACAGGAAGTAGTGGGCGGCCCTTCCCATACACCCGTCTCACATACAGGACCTGAATGCACAACATGGACACCATGGTAAGTATAACCAAAGCAACATAAAGAAACATAATTTACTAGACATGTGCCTGTAAACAGAAGAAAATTCAGATGATCTGATGGTTAGTAGTGTTTGCTTTAAAACACATGGATGGATGTAAAGAATGTAACTACTGCTACCACAAACAAAACCCGGGATATTGTGTGTTAAGAGAAGTTACACCAGCACTGTCTAAATTAAAGCATTATGGCTGACTGTAAAATAACAGAACACAGAATAACAATATACGCAAGTGACAAATGGCAAATGAATTCTGTCCTAGCCACTTTGTCACAGTGTCACATAGATTTGGCTCTGTAAAGTTGACGTTGAGCATACTCATATCCATCCGTTCACGTTGGTTTTCCTCTCTGACGTCATGTGGTTCTGTCTTCCTGTAGTGTCTGTGGAAGGTGGGAGGTCGTGAGTGTAGGCTGACGTAGACTGGAGCGAGCGCTCGTCATTGTGTTTGCGAGCACCGTGCTTCCAAACGCCGTTCACAGCAGGCTCGATGCATTGCTCCTGTGGCAGGCGTCCCTGTCTTATGCTGTCAGCCTCACTTTTCATGTGACGTCTGTTCTGTTTGAATTCATCTTCGTTGCTTGAAGCAAGTATTCAGGTGCCAGCTGCTCATGATGCTGGACTGGCATGGCAACAGCAGAGATAACCCTGATGAGCAGATGTGTGTGTTTGTGTTATAATAGTGGTTTTTAGTAGGCTGGACTAACTGGTTTGTATTTCCTTGCTGGAATAATAGCTGACCCTGGTTTGGGCTTTTGGGAGCTAACTTGTGTTTATCTGCAAGCACCTACAGGTGAAAAACAAACGCACTGAAAACTTGTCTCAGCTTCAAGGTGAGCATTTGAACCAACTACCAATGAGAGTGCAGGATACAGGTGACTGATATATGACTGGTTGGTAAATATGTTGCAGGGTCACCTAGGCAACTGGAGCCTGGAATGTCCGCTAGCAACCAATCGTCAGCTTCAGAGCACGACAGCTCGCTGACTTCCTGTGTGGATTATAGCTCATGTTCACATGCAGTGAAAGCTGATGGTTGCAGGTGAATGTTTGCAGGTATCCACACAGACGTCAGACACGCCTGCCTTTCCTACATGTTAGCATCTGTAATCAGGATTACAAGAGTAGACAGGTTTCTGTGCTAGAGGTATGATATATGCTTTGATAGCAATAATATTTTAAAATTAAATAATATAAATGAAAAGCTATGTAGTTGTTCTTTTTGTACGTGGTTATAGGAAGTTCAGTGTAGTTCCCTTGCTTCTGTGGATTTGATAATGATACCTTTACATTTCCTTTGTTGTTGCTCATAGTTGTGGGGTGAAAATGTAATATTGTGACAGTAAATATGGTTTAGTCTAGAACATTAGGAATTTGCTGTGCAGAGCATCCCAGGCTGGAGTCCAATTCCCGACTCAGTCTAGTGCAAAGCACACTTTGGTTTAATGTTGAACTATTTCACAAAGAAGAAGTGCTGAAACCAAACTTTAATCTCTAAAATCTCTAAACTGCAGTTTTAAAGCAGAATAAGGTGACATTGTTCTCCCACCAACCTTTGGTTTCGAATGAATCTGATTTATTCATCGAGTCGTTTTGTCCACGTGAAGCAGTCCGACACAACACTGCACTCTGGATCAACATCTGACTTATTGATCTTTTAATCGTCTTTCTATTAGGAGGTGAATGAGTTGTTTTTTTCATGTTCCTACAACATAACTATATATATCTATAAATCACTACTTACTTGTGACCCAAGAAATTTCTAAATATTATGGTCAGTGCTTCTGATCTGTCCTGAGAAGTACGTGTTGGGACTTTCCTACAGTTGTATTGGCTTTGCTTTATAACATGTCTGAATAAAATTGCCTACATTCAAATTATATATAACTACTAGCTGTTAACCTTCAGTGGCAACAAACGTTGTGGTTAGCTTCCTGTTTGTGTAAAAACCATGCTATCAGCTGCAGTTATCTCTCTTTGTTGGTGCATGTAGTGGCGAAGCACAGATCAGGGCGGAGATCTGCAGTTCATCTCACCGCTGCAGCTGTGGTGACCAAACGTCTTCTCCAAGAAGCTGGTTTCACGTGGTGGTTTAGATGTGTGCTGCTCTTGTCTAGCACCATTTGAAATCAGTGTTCTTGGGGAGAGCAGGACAGCAGCAGTGAGTGAGTGTTAGGAGGACAGTACACGAGTGCCTCGTCTTCCTCTCCTCCTCTTCTTCTGTTGCCACTAAAAGATAACTGATTTCTTCTGGTGCTTAGAGCCCGCTGAAGCCTTCTAGCACCATTTGAAATCGGTTATAAAACTGTGGATCACTGCGTCTGTGAGTCGTCAAAGAAAGAAGACAAGAACCCAGAAAGCTTGGAGGACGCTCGTGGATTACATCCCCATTGATATTATGAGTCTGTCGCTAATAAATCAGCTTCGCCTACGTCAATTTTTAAACTGAGCTGTGGAATTTGACCTTTCTACAGCTGATCAACGTTGCAGTTCTTCAAGATACCACTAGAGGGTGCTCGAAGTCCAAGAGTACTTGGATTACCCTTTGGATGGAATGGCTGGACCCGAGTTGGATACATTATCGGCATGTATGAGATAGATAGATATAGATATATAGATAGAGATATATAGATATATAGATAGATAGATATAGATATATAGATAGATAGATATGTGTGTGTGTGTGTGTGTGTGTGTGTGTGTGTGTGTATGTATATATATATATATATATATATATATATATATATATATATATATATATGTATATATATATATATATATATATATATATATATGTGTGTGTGTATATATATATGTATATATGTGTATATATATGTATATATACACGTGTATATATACATATATATATATATACATATATATATATGTATATATATACGTATATATATACATATATACACGTGTATATATATATATATACACGTGTGTATATATATACACGTGTATATATATATACACGTGTGTGTATATATATACACGTGTGTATACGTATGTGTATATACATACGTATGTGTATATATATATACGTATGTGTGTATGTATACATACGTGTGTGTATATATACATACGTGTGTATACATACATACGTGTGTGTATATATATA